TTCCCTACAACCCTCACCCTGGGGGCAGAGTCCAACCAACCCCCTCTGGAGGCAGGCAAGCCTGCGACCCCCGCTGCAGGGGCAAGCAGGACTCTAGCAGGGAGCCAGCAGGGCCAGGGGGTCTCCCCTGGGCAGACCCTTTGAAGAGGTTTCCAAGCCTCCCGCCACCATCAGGGACCCAGGGCAAGGGCAGTGGGAAGGGCTCCTCCACAGCTATGGATGGGAATGGCAAGGGCCCCGCACCCAAGCCTAGACCACTGGTGCCTGAGAGGACCAGGTGCGCTACACCAGCCAGCATACCCACTCAGCGTGGCCCTGTCCCTAGCCCTGGCCCCACCAATGCAATCCCCAAAGCAGGGGGACCACAATTATGCACAGGCGACTGCAGGGTGACCCGCAGCCATGGGGCCTGGACCCTCCACTGCTGACCCAGCTTGGGTGGCAGGGCCCCCTTTCTGGCACTCGCCCATAGGCACAGGGTGAAGTTCCAACTACCTGAGTAGGAGAACCTGCGCTATGAGATCTGGGTACAGGCCCTAGCTTGGATGGTGGAGGCCCCTCAAGATCGTGGCAGCCTCCTGCTCTCATGGCAAGAGGGTTTTTTCCTTGCTTTGGAGGCCACCACACAAAAGACAGTGGAGAGGGGGCTTGTGGTGGAGGGCAAGTATGTCCCCATCAAGCTCCTTGAAGAGCTGGGGAGCCGGGTGGTACTCAGCTCCATTCCACCCTATATCCCTAATTGGGCCCTGCTCCGCCAACTGTAAACCCTGGGGAGGGTTCTCTCTCTCAGGTGGTGGCTCTCTCGCTGAGGTGTCAAGACCCTGGCCTCTGCCACATGCGCTCATTCCGCTGCCAGGTCATAATTCAGCTGGCAGCAGGAGTGCAACTGGAGGCCAAATGGTGCCTTGTGATTCCTTTTAAGGGGGCCCTGGTGAGGGTCTTCTATACGTTGGGAGACCTATGGTGCTTCTGGTGCCGTGCCCCGGGGCACTTGTGTCATGAGTGCCCCATGGGCCAGGCAGGGAAGACATTGGCAGGTCCCACTGCAAGAGGGGTGCCCCTGCCACTGGCACCCCTCTCCCCTCAGGCCCCCGGCACTCCAGCCCCCCTGTGAGCTACGGGGACCTTGCACCCTAACCAAGTTTGGCGGAGTCCCAAAGAGAAGGCAGCAGCCAAGCGGAGAGAGGGAGCAGGCCACACCCGCCCCTAGCCATGCCCCTGCTGTAACTGGCTCCCTAACCCTCACTTTCTCCTACCAGAGCCTGTCCACCCAAGGACCACCCCATGACTGAGTGGGTGCAGGTCCCCCCTACAGGCACAAAGCCAATAGGGAGGCCCAAACATAGCTGGAGCCTTCTGAATTGGAGGCCCACCTCCCTCCCAAGACTACCACATGGGGGAAAGAGCAACCCAGCTTCCGGGGGCCTCCCTAGCTGCACCCAACACCCCATCCCCAGGAAAGATAAAATGGGTAATCCCAGTGGAGGATGTTTCGGGGCTGCTAAACAGTCCCAAGCATGAGCCCATGTGTGACAGCTGAACCTTGTGTCTAAGGTGCTTGCTGAACGCTCTGTGAGGATTAGACCAGGTGTTTTTAATTGTTTGTTTATGTATGGAGCTGCATGTTGCCGCTAAGAGTTTAGTTAAAGTAAAAGATTAGTGAGGCCTTGAAAGTAGTGAGGCCTTGTATGTAGTAGCACAGTTAAAATTCACCTTATCAGAAAAATGCAAAGGCTTGTACTGCTATTGGTCAGTCATAAGGAAAGTTCATAGTGAGTAGCTGTGAGTCCACAGCTTAGCTCAGAAGTTATAAATTGGCTAGCACATCCGGAAATCATCAGAAGGAAGATTCAGCATTGTAAGAGAAGCTGCTAATTTAGAAATTAGCTGCTGACCTAGATTCAGTAGGCCCATAGATCTCGAGGAGACCGAGGACTGAATATCAGGGTCCTTCCTGGTACCCCTCGATAAGTTGCCAAAGCGAATTGTTATTGTCTATCATTGTTGTCTTGTTATATTATGCGTAGTTGTGTGTTTGTTAGGTCAATAAACCTTTCTTACCTTTTTACCCCCGACCACTCTCAATCCTGAGCCCTCCCGCTGGCGGCTGAGACACCCATGAAGGGAGTCCCTCACTCTGCTGGCCAGGGCCTACCCCCTGAGATCACATGCACCGAGGCCGAGGTTGAGGCTGACCCAAAGGCAGGTCCGGTAGTGGAGCCCCCCCACCCGATGATCTCGGGGAGACAGGATTCTCAGGACCAGGAGCCCCCCCTAGGCTGGGGCCACATGTGCCCACACCAGTAGTGAGACCGGGCAAGACTGCAGTGTTGCAGTTGTCCCTGCAGCCACAGTTCCTGCTAGCAAATCCTGTCCCATCCTGTTTGGCCGACTGGGCTTGCAGGGTGTGAGATTTGTGCAGGGGGGCACGGGGGGGGAAGAGGGAAGGAGTATGGGAGGTAGGTGTAGTGAGTATAGGGTGTAGTGAGTATGGGTGAGTATAGGGTTTGTGGGGGGTATGGGGCTTATGGGGGTGGGGAGGACTGCTCAGGGGAGTGGGTCAGCAGCCGTCGGAGTGCTCAGGGCTCACTACTGGGAAAGGCCCCCTCGCGGAGAAGTATGGCCCTAGCTGCCTGGGACCTGGCACTGCCTATGCCATATGGTGCAGGCCTGGCCCAGTGTGGGCCAGCTGGGGAGCCTACACTTTCAGGGAGGACCAGGCTGCTCTTGCTGTCACCTGGGGTCCTGGCACCGTATGCAAGAGCCGTGTGCCAGGCAGGACCAGGTCTTTTCTCCAAGTGTCCCATAACCCATCAGGTCAGGCCAGCTCCATGGAAGCAGGACCTAGACCAGCCTGATGCATGGCTCTTGCACGTGGTGCCAGGACCCCAGGTGACATCAAGGGCAGCCCAGTCATACCCAACGGCTCATGCCCCCTGGCCAGCCCACACTAGGCCTATGCCATGTGGCCAGGCGATGCCAGGTTCCAGGTGGCCAGGGCTGCACTGCACCACTGGAGGGCTCTGCCAGTAGTGGGCCCTGAGCACCCCGATGGCTCCTGCTGGGGGGGGCGGCCGTGCGCTGAGCAGGGGGGACCCACCCCTCCTAAGCAGTCATCTCCCCCCCCAAACAGTCCCCCCACACCCACATTCTTACTTGCATGGGACAGGGCCTGGGTCTGATTGACCGCTGCAGCCTTGCCCCACTCCTATTTGCCCCAGCAGGCTGAGGCAGTGTGCTGGAGCAGCTAGGGAAGGGGGAACACATAGAGATGCTCTGGCCAAGTGCCAGAACATCTTTCTGGAGGACCCAGCCTCTGGTTAGTTAAGGACAAGCTCCAGGAGCATGCCCTCAGCTCCTTTTTTTTCAGCATGTATTTTCTTGATGCTGGGATTTCCTGGTATCAAATTTAGAGTCCACACTGCAAATATGGCACATGTTCACTTGTCTGGACACAGCCAAAGTGTTTTTCATAAAATATTTTATATCATGGAACTGAATATTTAAAAATATGCTCTTAAAAAAAACTAAGCGGAATCAATTACAAAAATAGTAACTTACAGCTTTGTATTTCCTGGCTTGCTCAGAGGAATGTCTTTGTGGTACACTATTATCCTTACTATATTCCATCTTCAACAAAACCACAGCAGGACTTTTGGGTTTAGGATCAGCCATCTTCCTATGAGTTTTGGCTGCTTTTCTTTAAAGAAAATGGCAAAAAAAAGATTGTGTTTAGATTCCCTCATTAAATAGGTGCATCCAGTTTCAAAACCCAAATTATAAAGATATCATAAATGTATAATATTTTATTATAAAAATTTAAAATTTCACTAGCATTATTTTCCAGTTTTGTGTCTAGTATTGTTATTTTCAAATATACACCATTAATTTAAATGCTACCATTCTGATTTCATAATAATTTATGGCTTTTCTCTCTAGGTGCAATATTTGGCCATAAACTTTATTGCCCTGTTGGCTCATATTGGGGACTAATCAAGTAGCTAATTCAAGTATGATGAAGAGAAAATGTTACATTTAACTATTTTGTCCAACAGTCAGGTACAAAAAAGTGAAAAGGAATTTGTCTTTGGCAATTTCAAATGATGATTAAATGAGCTTAGCACCGTTATATCTTCATTTATATTTGATTATCTGTTCTTTTATTGGTATTTATTGGTTGTCCTCTTTATCTCACTTTACAGATGATCTTGATCACAGGTTTGCTATGCAAATTGGAATTTGTACAGATAATTCATTAATCAGATGATTTATGATTTTTTCAAATTTCAGTGAACCATTTCATTTTTTGCTATTACTTTCAAGTTCATGATCTCCTTATTCTCTGACCTTATTTGTTCATTCTAAAAGATTCAACAGGGGAAAAGTAGTGGGGGATTCTTTTCTTTTTAAAGGCACAGGTACTTGAACTGGGCAAATGCAATGTTTGGGGGAACGTTTCTTTATGTTCAGAATCTTCCTTCCCAATTAAAGCTTTTCCACTTTCTTTCACTGCCTGGCATCAGCCTGTGCAAGATTTTATATGTTCCAGTCTGAAAGCTATTCTCTCATTCTACCCATGATGCTCTTCCTCCAAGTGAAAAAGATGAGCAAACAAGCCCTTCAGAAACAGATCTTAGATTCAGTAGAAGGGTAGTGCTCATACAGCTGTCTTCTCTCTACCTCACAACCCAAGTGCATCACTGTTACAAGGATGTATTTGGTAGCCATGCAGAAAAAGATAACATTTTTGCAATTTCTCAGTTGGTCTAATAAAAGGTATCTCTGAACCAAGAGTTCTAGATTTTTGCATTTCTTTTTGTCTCAGACCAACACGGCTACCAAATACACCCCTGAAACATGGAAGATGCTGAATTTTAGCCAATTTTGGATTATAAATTTCACTACTGAACAAGAAAAATTTCTGTACCTCCCTGCCTGCCATCTGACACCAACAGGCAAGGAATCCTGCTTGATCTGCATAACAAAGAGCAGGCTACAAAGACACTCCGATGGACCCAGAGGAACAGATATCCAGCTTCTGCTTCCTCTGTGCAAAAATGAAGTTTATTTCCTACATATGGGGACATTTTACCATCTTTTACCTTCCCTGAGCCTGATGAAGGGCATGAGCCTGAAAGCTTGCAGAAAAAGATTTTTTTTTGCAATTTCTCAGTTGTTCTAAAAAAAGGTATCATCTCTGAACCAAGAGTTCTAGATTTTTGCACTTCATAGTCACAAGAGATTTCAACTTTTCCAGTGCTGACCTCTCATGACTATTCTCCAATCCAGGTCTTCTACATCACAGCTTCTATTCTAATACAATAAAAGCCTTAGTCTGCCTGTCAATCTGCCCATCCATAATGCTCGGGGCCAAGTGTGCATGCACCACCAAAGGGGTGCGCACCGATTGGCTGTGAAGGCCCGGTGCATTATGGACAGAGGGGGTGAGCGAGTGAGGGAGCCGTCGTGCTGCCTCTCCCCAACAACAGCTGGCAGGGAGGGGGAGGGGGGTTCCAGTGGCAGCTCCCCCTGCTGCACCTCCCTCCCCGCTGCTGCTGCCGCTGCTGCCAACAGCTGGCAGAGAGGGGGAGGCGGTGGTTGGGAGAGAGAGAGGAGAGGGGGAGAGGAGGCAGGGAGCGGGGGCACATTGTGTGCCACCAGGTGTCAGCGGCTGTGCAAGCTCCCTTCCCCACTGTATGTGGCAGCTGGCGGAGGCACGGGGTGGAGCAGCAGGGGATGGGGGAGGCACACGGGGCCGGAGGCAGAGTGTCGGCACCGCAGGGCACTCGGTGGTGGCACTCTGTCCCCGCCTGCCCCGCTTCCCCCTCATTCATGACGGGCAATTTGCTAGTGTTACTTTATCAGTTACACAGTTACAGTGGCATTCTTCAGTTTTCAACAATCAAAAGTTGACCTTTCATTTTCTGTTCATTTTCATAAAACTGTTAATCAAGGAACAGTCTGCAGGACATTTATCACTTTTGAATTCTTTACATCCTCAAGTAAAATCTTTTTCCTTATCTTTTGAGGATGGCAGGGCTTAATAAATTTAACCGTGGCAATCTCCCAGTTAAGTGAGTTTTATGACCATTTTACTGATGGGGAAAATTGAGGATCAAAGAGATTAATCTTGGGCAAGTCACTGCAGACTCAGACTCCTAGTTCTGATATTATCTTCTTCACAAATTTTAACCTTCTAAAGTTACTGATTGACAGGAACCAAAGAATCATCACATCATTACTTTAAGACAAACAATGGCTGTGTTTGTTTTAACAAATAATATGGCTTTTTGTTGTGTAATAGAAGAAACATCGATTGTATTTTCCTTTATGAACAATTAGAAAACATCTTACACTTTTGTGGCTTCCAAAAACAAAGAGATTTGGTGTTTGATATAAGGCTGCCTTAGTATGTTCTTCACGCTGGGTCTTTCCTCAGGCTTCTTCCTAAGCATAGTTCGTATCAGCTCTACTAGTTGTGGGCTATAATCCTTTGGCATTGGTGGCAACTATAAAAAAAAATTAAAGGATAACTGTGATATTATAGTAATAAATGGACTGCTATCCTCTCAATATGAAATCTGATGAATGCTTCAGACATTCAGATCATGCCACCAACATTCAGCAAACAAAAACATTGAATAGATTTATCTAAAGGAGCAAGTATTGCACCATTTAATCACTATGGAACTGATTTGGCTAGGTTCTAAGTACAGGGAGTAGTCCTACCAAGATCAATGACACTGCTTGCATGCTTATAGATAGCTTAAGTATGTTCCTTAATGGAACCCAGAACACCTAAAGATTTTGCACAAGATTCCTCCTAAATTTTTCTTAGAAGCTATGAACAAAACATTAATATTGCATATACATATGAAGAAGAAAGTTCTATGTTAATATATATTCATCACATTTCAAGAAAGATATTCAAAGCTGTTCAACTATGCTTTCTAAGATTTGCTAACTAGAATTTTATCACAGGGGCCTTCATTTCCCCCTCCCCACCCCCAAACACATAATTTGTCATAGTTGAAGATCACGATTTACCATATTTACCCAAATCCAAGATTGCTTCAAAGTTAAGATAACCTCCCAAATAATCAGATTATATACATGGACAATTATATATTGTTGAGGGTCATCTTAAATTGATCTTCTCATTGCTGTGGCAGAGAAAGCAGCAGTGGGGTTGAGGGCCAAATCCCTGCCTCTTGCCCTCCCTGCCTGCCACCTGCCCCCCACCCCTTGCCTCCCCACCTCTAACTTCCTCCAGTCTGTAGGAATTGAAATGACCCATTTCCTACAAAGGTGAAAATAAAGAAACTCTGATACCTTCAAACTAAAATATGTTTTCTGTATCTACCACTTCATCAGTAGATAAGTGTACTACATACGACATTAGAATGAACATGACAACATTTCGTTTTTGTTTACACCTCATGTTTCAAAAAGGAGGTAAAATTCATTTTTGACTAAAATTAATTCTCTCAAATTCCAGATATAACAATGGACTACAAGTTTTGAATCTATAGTTCTACAGTTAAGAATGTAATCGTAGTATTTTTTCCAAAATATTTTCACCAAACAGCTTAAGATCAAATTTTACCTTTCCTTCAATAATTTGATAAACGAGAGAGTTCATGTCTTTAGCATTGAAGGCATGTTTCAGTGTGGCCATTTCATAAACACAACATCCTAAAGCCCAAACATCAGACTGCAAAAGGAAAACCAGAAAAATAAGTGTAAGAATATTATACGGAATATGGAAAGTTTACTTTAATATCCTCTTCATGAGCATAGGCTGGCATCATGCTGAGATGATAGTCGCCATAATTAAGAATGCAGCAAAATCCATTATGACAGCTTTTGGCCCCAAATCCCATAACTTTGCTTGGCTCAACTGGTTCATCCTGAACATATGCTACTTTTTCTCTAAAAGCTAAGGAGAAATTTTCTACAAAGTCTAAAAGCAAGTTGGTATGATTCTGAGCTGCCAATCATTTAAGAGATATATCCTGACCATGTGGTCGCACAATAGGGGGTGCTACTACGCAGAGACACCCACATCACTATGCCAGGCCCAAAACCTCGCTTCAAAGGTCTCCCTTGGGGAGCCTAGCTGGTTGTCTCGCTTCCTGGAGAACCCCTGCAAGTCTAGGGGTAACGTTGCCACCACTGATCTCTGGCTAGGCTTTGTGCAGCCTGGGGCACACAGACCCCGCGAACCTAGGGGGTGCTTTGCCCACAGTAATATTTCTGGGATGCTTTGGGCTCAAAGAAGCATCCAAGATAGCATCAGGAAGAACTGAAGGAAAATAAAAAGACAAATTTTGCTGGGTAGGCAGGGGGTGGAAGGCCTCTCCTTTTCTCAGTGCCCAAAGATGTAGGATATAACCCGATACCTTTATTGAGCGGGGGGTGGGGGGCAGGGGGAGTTGGACGTAGAAGTCAGAATACACTTTGAGCAAACAAAAGCAACTTGAGTCTTTACAGAGACTGGATACAGCGACCCTTTTAAGACACAACTTGCCTATACATAACTCCCAACTCCTGGCAGGTTTCCAGGTTTCTATTTACAGAAATCACTAGGCCACTGCTTGGGGTATGTACTTGTAGTTTCCAGGTGCCCACCGGAAGGAAGAGAAAACCCCTCTCACCCCCACAAGGAATTTTATCTGGCCAGGTCACCTGATTGACTAGCCTGATCCAAGAGGAGCAGGAAGGGAGAGGGGTCACCTAGGCTGACCCAAGGGAGGGTCAGAGTGAGGGGGAGGGGATTTCCCCACAGACCCATCCCTGAAATTTGATTTCTATTAATTTTCAGATTTTCTGCAATTCTCTCTCAAGCTTTCCATACAATTAAATCTCAGTGAAAACAAACACAACTATCATTGAATAAAATGGACTGAAATTAAGCAAAGTTATGATCATGCTGTAATTCTCAACCCTGCACATGTCATTCTGCCCAGGTGGAGCTCTATAAACTTCAAAGTAGCTTTGTAACAATACAGTCTATCCACACAAATTATGATTCAGAATCTGAGTTTCTACATGTACATATATTCTAGGCTGGTGATCACCTGCAGCTTGGAGAAAGCTGGATCTTTCTTTATTTCAGTATACTAACTGAAGACTTTTTATTAGCTCAGGCTTACAATAGAGCCTTGTGTTTATGGTATACTTGGTTCTGCAGCTGAAACTGAATTACTCTACAAGGGCAATTCTTTTTTTTGCTAGCCAGTAATTTATTTCACACTTAAAAGAAGGACTTTAAAAACAATAAGAATACCAGACCACTGACCATTCTTTACTTATTTGTCCCAGTAATTGTAAATACTTAACTCCAGTTTTTTTAAAAACTGTAATATCTATTACATATATTTTAGCAATTGTAGTGATAAGAATGTAACCAACAACAAAATTTAAGTTTGTTGTATACTGCAGTAACCTAATACACACTTAAGAATGTTTTTTTTCCTTTTTACTTGCCAGGCTATTGATAAATCCTAACCATAACAGCAAGTCATGCACTGCAGAATAGTTTTTCTTACATTATCTTATTTTTTTAGAAGTATTATTTTTCCTGTAGATAATACTAAAAAAAACCCCAGCAGCAGCAAAATACATCAGCTTTCTCCTTAAAACCACCTCTTCCTAAAACACAAGACATCATACAATTCTGACAAATAGGTAAACACAATAACTCATCTATTTTGTCCTAGTTAGTTTTGAAAGGTTACATGAAGTCAACTAACATGCTACCGATAACATACTCTACCTTGTAGTTGTAAGGTTTGCTAGATAACAGTTCAGGACTCATATAGTAAGGTGTGCCAATAAGAGTATTGGCCATATCATACTGATTTTCTAACACTCTGGCTATTCCCAGATCTCCCACTTTGATTATATTTGTTCGTGTCAGGAAAACATTTTGCGTTTTGAGATCTCTGTGTAGAATGTGTTTTTCATGTAAATACTGAAAAATAAAAGATTTACAGCCAAGTTGCAAGTTAACCAACAATCAATTTGTTCTTTTCCACTGAAATAAAACCATGCAAGGCAGACAAAAGCATACAAATACAACAAACTATTTATTACTAAACAAGACACAAATTACAGCCCCGATTAGTGAGTTAGTACAGATAATATAAGCCTATACATATTATTTATTTTTGCTTTAATATGATCTGCCCATTTGAGGTTAATAAGTAACCCAACAGGAACAAGAAATACAAAATGAAAGCTCAACCTGTTATTCACTTTCCACTACAATTCATTTAAATCCAATCCTGCAGTCCTACCTCAATCTACATTCCTTTTTGATGATGTAAGGTTGGTAGAAATTCCCCCCTTCACCCCCCAAGTAAAATCTATGGAATTAGGCTTACAATAAGCAAAATCAGGTCCTAGTACAGATTTCTGTATAACAGGGCATTTTGGTTACATTAATGCTTTTCACTCCAATTTCTTATATTTCACATTTAAGTTAAACCTTTATTATACTAATATTTGTATGATTTAATTCCTTTCATGTTATTAAAATATAAGATGAAAATAGTTTTCAGGAGAAATAATGGGTTAATGGTCAGAAAATTTCACTTTAAAAATAAATTTAAATATAGAAGCAATAAATGCTTCTGAAAGCAGACAGCTTTTTAGTACCAACATTTTTGGTTTACGTTAAATTAAGTTTCAAAATGGAAGGAGATTCTATAATTCAGCAGCAAGCCCTTGGAAACAGAGGATTATAAATATTAGAAATTAGAACTCTTTAACTAGACCACGGCTTGCTTATATGACTAATTTAGAACTCTGTTTGTTAGTATAGGCTATCATAACAATTATAACAATTAATTGTACTCCACAATGTCATTTCAAAGGCAGTGACAAAGTAAATCAGTGAGCCATGACTCCAGCTGTAGTTTATCAATAGTATAAAGATTGTCATGCTAAAGAGATGCAAGTACAGTATACAGATAAAAGCAGCCGTGGCAGGTATGCCACAAGTTAAGCCCCACCCTTTTCCTACGTCTGATCCCTGCCCCTCCAGATGTCTACCTGATACAGATTTTGCCCCGGAGCCCCAGAATGGAGGCAAAGGGTCTTAAGTGTATGGCCACGTGGAATAGACTGGATGAAGGACAATGATGTGGAGATGTACCAGGACCAAGAGCCAGGTTAACCCTTTCCATGTCTCAGCTGCCACAATTTTATATAGCAAGTAAGGATCCAAAGCCCTGAATTTGGTAGTGACTTCAGGGCCAGAAAAGGGTTAACTTGTCTGTGACACCCCCTCACCCTCCAATCACACACACTTCCTCTCTCAGCAGCATCCTCCCCCTGCTGTGCTCCTCAGAGTGCTCCTGTACCTCCTTTCATGACACAGAGCAGCTTCCAATGCCACCTACAGCATGCATGCATGCTACAGATTGACCACCTCTGGGCTAAAGCAGCTATTTTTCATAAATTTCATAGACATTAGGGCTGGAGCAATGCTTCATGAATTTGACAATAACTATAATTGGTCAACATTTCTAATAGCCTGTTGTATCTAGATGCCAACACTGGTAAAACCACAACTTGAAATTATATAAATAAAATTGAAATTTTGAAGGTTTTGTAGAAAGACCAGTATTTTAAAATTAAAAGGTTTAATTACCTGCAGTGCCATGGCAATCTGGACAAACCACTCTACCACCCGAGTCTCTGGTAAAAGTTTGCCCTTCTGTTCTTTAAGTTTATGATAGAGGTCTCCTCCTTCACAGAAGCCCATAACAATATATAATAAACCATCTTCCCCTTCCCAGGACTCCCGGTAGGTGACTATGTTGGGGTGCCTCAAGAGAGACAAGAGCTGGGCCTCTTGTTCTGCTGCTTTCCTGTCTCGCTTGGAGGCATTTTTAAGGTTTAGCTTTTTGATGACATACTGTAGAGAAAAATAAAAGATGAAAATCCAATCTACTAGGTAAAACTACTGTCAAATTCTAAAAATCTAAAAAAACCCAAGTACTTAAACAGATCATTATATATGGAAATTACAATTTATATACAACTGTTCATTATTATATCATTATTAAATCCTATTAGTCTACTTCATAATAAGTGTTTATATAATTTTAATGCTTAATGTCACAGGACACTAAGGTGCCTGCTCCTCTTAGAGCAGAGATTGCCCGGAGAGAGAGCACAGAGCCAGATAAGAAACCAGGTGCAGGTTGCCATGACAACTGGTTAATGAAGGAATTGGCCGCACCTGTACCTGGTCAGCTGGCCGGAGGAGGCAGGGCCCTAGGCCCATATAAACCCCAGGGCTCAGACCATGCAGTTGGTTCCCTACCAGCAACTGAAAGGGAAGGAGCCTCCAGGAAGCAAGGGCCCAGAGATGTGGTAGCTGGCAGATCTGCTGCCCTTAGAACAACAGGGACACCATGAGCCCATAAGGTAACCTTGCCTACTAGGCATTGAGCCTCAGAGAGGGAGTTTTACTCTTTTAAAGGGGCAAAGCATGATGTGAATTCTGTGTTATGTTACAGTCCAGGGACTCAGGGTGGTTGGCTGTTGTTTGTGTGCTGTCTGGTAACACCGGTGGTTTGGGTGAGGCTATTTGGGGAAGGAGGAGGCCTCATTGAGGGGTGTAGAGACTGGGCTGTGGAGAGCCCAGTGCTGACAAGGGGCTGAATTATAATGATACTGGCATTGTCCTGCCTAGGCCTCATCTGTGAGGCTTGGGGTGTGGTAGAGGGGTGGTTGGAGCCATGCATATGGCTGATAAGGCTGAGAGACTTGGGAACCATCTACAGTGAAGCAGGATGTCAAGGGGTCTAGAGACAACAGGGTTATTAGGATCTAGCCAGACTGTGTCCAAACTTAAAGCTCAAGTACAGCCTCCCTATATTCATCATACCAATGAGACATGGTGGGCAAGAATGAGGGTGTTTGTAGAGCAAGACTGACACAGTTAAGGACCTGGGGGCAACACTGCCACCCCTAGGCACTGCACCCTGCTACATTTTTATAATTGATTAAAACATTAAAATATTCAGGTTGCGCTGTTTCCCTTGTTTTAAAACAACTGGCCATTACTGACCCATGTTCAAGTCTTAACACTGAAATACTTTTGCATAGTTCAGAAAGTCATTCTTCTCAAAAAGGTGACTTAACTCCTTACAATTTCTACTCCCTTCTGATAAAGAGAATTGTAAATGCACAACAAAGACTATGTAAATAAGCTTATTCTAGTATAGGAAGTTAAAATCCAGAAGTGACTAATCTCATTCTGTTTGAGGAAAAAAAATCTTGATTTCTTTACGAAAGCCACATGCTTCAATAAACTCCAGAAAACAGCATTTTACTACAAGGTGCCAGAAGGCTGATCAGATCTACATAACAGCAGAAGGTGGTTAAAACCACATCTCAGAGTTCCAAACATATTTAAAAAAAAAAAAATCTTCTAGCACTGAAAAAATTATGAACTCACAACTGCACAAAATCCTCACTAGACCTTATCAGGCTAGACTTTCCTTTCCAAAACAAAGTATGGACATGGTAGAGAGTTCTGCAGTAGAGCAGGCTAATAAAAGTTAAGTGCAAAAGGCAAATCTATTAAAAGATGGCAGGAAAGCTTCTGATACCAACAGGTTAGGAAGAAAAAGAATGCTACCAAGAACAAAAAGGGAGAACAGAAAAGATTTTTTTTTTTAATCTTTAAAATCTGAAAAAAGAATAAATTAGATGATTCTATCAATGAGAAACTTATTCTATACCAGTCATAAAAGAATACTAACATTTATGATATGAGCTTAAAGACAACAAGAAGAGGTTCTAAAAGTTATGGTGGCCAGAAAAGAAAGGACAAGTAAGCTGTGGGTCCAAATGTTAACTAGCCAGTGGGAACTCTTACGAGAAAATGCAAAGAAGGCAGGAAGTAGCTGTTGTAGTTATCTCAGTGTTCACAAAAAAATTAAGCTGCAGCCAGACACTTAAGAATTATTTGGATAAAGAAAGAGGCATGCTGAGGGATGAGGTAACAAGAGATGGTCAGAGAGCTTTTGATGGGTCTGAATCAAGTCAAATCATCAAAGTCTGATGAACTTCACCCTAGGGTAGGGTTAGTATATTTCAAGTTTCAAAAATAGGACACCTGGTCCTCTATTGGGGGATGGGGTATATGATGGGGGGTGGGGGGCAGTGATATGCCCATGCCCTGCCCCCCACTCCCAACCCACAGTACCCCACCCCACAAAACCCGCTGGTGCCCCTCCTTAGCAGGTTAAGTACAGACAATCAAAATGCCTGAGGCTGTATTGATTTCAGTCTTTGCAGATCAGCCTAATCTGCAAAGACTGAACCAATAAGCAAATGAACAGACTTTCACTTTTGAGTCAGGAAATACACATGTCTGCAGTGGCTCAAGCCAGAAGCTGGGGGTGCTAAAGCACACCTCTCTGGTGTATGGCCAGCATAGGCTGTGTATGCTTCCTTTTCCTGCTGCCTCTGAGGTCTCTGGGATTTGCAGTCCGTACTCGCAGCAGGACTCTGCAGGGTTGCTTATAACTTCCTCTTCCTGCTTCCACGTGCCTCTGGGCTCTGTAGTCCAGTCGCAGCCAGCACTAAGCAGGGCAGGGCACAGCAGCCCCATACTCAGGGGAAGGGAAGTTTAACCCACTTCCCCCAGGCAAACCCCTGCTGGGTTTGGAGGCTGGGGAGGTGGGGGGTGCTGTGAGCCACCCTTCACTGCTGTGGCTAGGGAGCAGAGGGGCAGGGCCAGTTCTGCTCTCTGGAGCAGACAGCATAGCCCAGCACAGGGTTGCAAGATGCTGGGGGACTGTGATTTAACTTGAACCAGGAAGGGATCTGGGACAGAAGTTTCATAACCCGGTTTGACCTAAATCACTTAAGTCTGACACTACATTCAACCAGGTTTATCTTAAACCAGTCTCACCCATTTTGAAACTGGTGTGTGCACACTGAACTTCTATTATGTTACAGGTTTAAACCAGTTTCTGATCACTTAAACCAGTTTATGTGTAACTTCTGTACCTAGCCCCAACCCACAGCCCCCACCGCCATCCCTGCTGATACCCCTCACTCCTGACCCACATCCCCTGGCCCTGCCTGTGCCCCTCAGTCCCCCATTCCCCTGGTGCCCCACAGTCCCGACTCAGTCCCCCATTCCCCTGGTGCCCCTCATTCTTGACCCACAGATCCCAGTCTCCCCCAGCCCTGTTGCACAAGCAACTCCCTGCTGCTCCCAAAGAATCCCCCAACCTGTTTCCCCCACTGGAGGGGAAGATGCATCCCCCAGCTCCCTGCCCTGTTGCAGTCCCAGCCCCAGCTGGCGCATACATACCCTCATCCCCAAAGTCTCCAGTCCTGGCTGTCCAATTCTGCGCCCAAAGACTTACCTTACTGCAGCTGCCAGGGCCATGCACAGAGTACGTGATGTCCCTAAATCCAATCACCCTGTCCCATTCCTTCCAGCCCCAGGCAGCTCCTTGCTGGGGCAAGCCGGGAAGTGCCAGGAAAGCAGAAGCAGAGCAAAATCCAGGACATTTCCTGATATTTCAAAAAAACAAAACAAAAAAAACCCAACCACCCAGATGAAGATGGGAGCACCCAAAAAGAGGACAAGTCTGGGAAAACTTGGACGCAAGGTACTTCAGGGTAAAGAAGGAACTGGCAGAGGAAATCTCAGATCCCTCAGCAATCATTTTCATGAAGTCATCAGAGACAGGTGAGATGCCTCAGGACTACGAAAGAGCCAACATAGCACCCCTCTTTAAAGGCAAAAAGGAGGACCCAGACTGGTTAGTCTTACCCTCAATACCCAGGATGTTATTGAAACGCATCCTAAGGAAGGCCATTTGCAAGCATCTGGAGGAGAAAAAGCTGATCACAAGCAACCTAGCATGGATTTACAAAGAACAATTTATGTCAAACAAATATCATCTCCTTCTCTGACAAGCTAACTAGTTGAGTGAGTGAAGGGAATGCTGTGGATATAGTGTATCTGGACTTCAGGAAGATTTTTGATAAGGTCTTGAATGACCTTCTCATAAACAACTGAAGAAATGTAGATTATGCAAAACTACTATAACATGGATAGACAATAGGCTGAATAGCTGCAAGCAAGGGGTAATTATTAACAAATCCATGTCAGAATGGCATAGGCAAACAAGGTTCCTTGGGTGAACTTGATATCTTTTATTAGACCAACACAAATGGTTGGAGAATAGTTATTAAGCAAGCTTTCAGGTTCAAAAACCCTTCGTCAGGCTCAGGAAGCTGCAGCATTTGGTGTGTGCTCTTCCTGGATGGAATGAAAAGTAAACAAGCCAGGGGCTGGGCTGGGC